AGGCAATCCACTCAGCTCAGCCTCCCAAAGGCGCGGGATTACAGGCTGAGCCACAGAGCCCGGCTGTGTCTGTGTTTTTAACTACTTTATTGTGTTAACTCATTTCTAATCTTCACAACAAAACCATGAGGTGAGTTCCCCTCTTCAGATGTAGAAGCATAGGATATTTAAATAACCTGCCAAAGCTCCCACAACTTGAAAACAATGGAGGGCGGGATCAAACCTCTTGAATACTAGGGCATGGTGGTCACTGTTTTACGGATGAAATGACTGAAAGCAGAGAGAAATACAGACTCAACTTCAGAGTTCATTAATCACTTGGCGGTGTAATAAATGTAAAAAGTAATACTGTCTACTTCTTCCAATGAAAGCAATGAAGGGGGAGACCAGAGAGCGAGAGAACATTAGTGTTCCAGTTACCTCTCAGCTAGGAATTTAATAGATGGCTTCAGCATCTCTCCTAAAACGCCAAGAATTCTGAATTTTCAAATCAAAATAAAATGTTTACCCGGTAAAAATTTATTCCAAAACCAAAGAAACTCATTCTGCAAAAGCACTTGAAAAGTTTCTTGTAATTGAATCAATCATGTCCTCCAAATTCATCAATGAGCAACAGATGTGTAGGCGGCTCAATTATATATTCCTACGCTTGGGTGATACAGCTTTTAACCCGGTGTTTCCTACAAGAAAATGACTGTAATTATTCCTAAATCCTAGTTAGGACACTGGAGAAACTCCCAGAGGCAAAGGGGCAGGCCTGTCTTACTTGGGCAGTTTATGTCAAGGACAGATAAGATACTCTCATGGCTAATGGAATTTAACAACTGCCATCTTTCAAAAGGAAAGAAGGGGCACCTTTTGTGTCTAAAAAATAAAAATAGGCTGGGTGCCGCGTGGCTCATGCCTGTAATCCCAGCACTCTGGGAGGCGGAGGCGAAAGGATTGCCTGAGCCCACGGGTTCAAGACCAGCCTGGGCAACATGGCAAGAGCCCGTTTCTACAATAAATCAAAAATAATTAGCTGGGCAGGGTGGTTCATGCCTGTAGTTCCAGCTACTTGGAAGACTGAGGTGGAAGGATCATGTGAGCCCAGCAGGTTGAGGCATGGTGGCTCAAGCCTGTAATCCCAGATTTTGGGAGCCCAAGGGTTCGAGACCAGCCTGGGCAACTTGGTGAGACCTTGCTCTACGATAAATCAAAAATTAGCCGGGCATGGTAGCACACGCCTGTAGTTCCGGCTACTTGGAAGGCTGAGGCGGGATTGACAGAGCCCAGCAGGTGGACGCTGGGGTGGCTGTGAGCATGCCACTGCACTCCAGCCTGGGCAACAGAGTGAGACTCCAACTTAAAAATAAAATAAAATAAAAAATAAAGGCATGAGCCATAGCAGAAAACTCATTTTTGACTTGAACAAGAGAAATTATGTTTACTCATGCTCACTCACTTTTGAGAAAAATCATTTGTATTCTAGTGTCTGACTCACTCCTTAAAGTGATGAGGGCTCCAATTCTGCCCTCAGGAGGTGGTTTACTTACTAACTTAAGGTTTATTCCAGGCCCCCACTCGCCACCTTCTCAAAAATGCCAACCAGGAGGGGGCTCTGAGTCAGAGGAAATGTCTGTCGTGCAAAAGAACAGAAAGGGGGTCAAGCTGAAAGTCATGACAGACACACAAGTTTGCACACGAGGACAATACACAACCGTGGGATGCAGCGCGCCATGAGCAGCTTGGAGCGCACGCTTTGACACCTCAGAGCTGCGGGGACTTGACCGCTGCACAAAACACTGGCAGCCGGGCGCGATGGCTCACGCCTGTAGTAATCCCAACACCTTGGGAGGCAGAGGATTGCCTAAGCTCGGGGGTTCAAGAACAGCCTGGGCAATATGGCGAGACCTGGTCTCTACAACAAACGAAAAAATCAGCCAGGCGTGGTGGCGCACGCCTGTGGTTCCAGCTACTTGCAAGGCTGAGGTGGAAGGGTCGCCTGAGCCCAGCAGGTCGAGGCTGCGGTGGATGGCCGTGAGCGTGCCACTGCACTCCAGCCTGGGTGACTGAGTGAGACTGACTCCAAAAACAAAAAAAAGAAAAGAAAAACCACTGGCAAAGGGATGTGTGGAGAGGCAGGCAGGAAACCCTCGAGTCACCTCGCGACAAGGAACCCATCGGTCACCCGAAACAAGGAGCCCACCCATGGGTCACCTCGCGACAAGGAGCCCGTCGGTGACGCGAGACAAGGAGCCTTCGGGTCACCCCGAGACAAAGAAGGGTCGTGACGAACCGGCGCGGGGGGTGGTGGCCGCGGGACCTAACCCATGCCGAGGCCGGCTCGACAGGACCCGCAGCCCGAAGGGCAAGAGGGCCCCAGCGACGCCAGGTCGCTGTCCTCAGTGGCTCCACTCACCAAGAACTGGAGCATGGTGGCGCAGGCGAAGGGCGGCGGTGACGGCGCGGGGCAGGCCGGGCCTGCGTCTGCGCGAGGGGGCGGGGTCCGTAGTGCACTTCCGGGTCACACTTCGCCAGCACCTCCCCCACCCGGCAGCGGCGCCTCGGGCTGTCGTTTTCCTTTCCTGCGGGACGCCCGGGACTCTCACCCTAGTCTCTTGGCGGAGAAGGGCTGTCACTCACCTCTGGCGGAGCGGCGAAAGCACCAGGCCCTCGAGGAGCAGGTCCTCGGCGCGAACCTAAGCTTTGAACGTTCCGCTTTTGTGAACCATGGCCAGCGCCCAAGGCATGTGCATTTTCCCTAACGCCACCGGCTGCTTGCACCGCCTGCTTTAGGCTCCTGGCCGGGAGGGACGTACAGTGGCGCGCCGGGAGCTCCGCCCTGTGCTGCGCCCAGCCGGGAGAGAGGGAGGAGGCCTGCGTTGTCAGAGCCTCGCGCGTCTGCCGCGCGACCCACCGAGGACCCGCGGTGGAGGCTGCGTGGTTAGGAGGCTGGAAGGCCTTTGGAGTCTGGGGACACGAGGCCCGGTCTCCCGCAGCAAGCCAGCACTAAGACCGCGAGTCCTGCCTCCGAGGAGGGCAGTTATCCGCCCTGAGCCGGGGACTGAAAGACAGGCCTCAACTGCCTCTCCAAAGACTGGATTTTAGAGCCACTTTTTGCATGGGTTAGAGGAGCAAGGCGGTCTGAGGCCGGTGAGGCAGTCAGTGACCTGTGCAAAGTAGTCGTTTGGCGGCTCTTGGTAAGGCGCATATTCACAAAATTGCATCCTTTGCATGATCGGAGGGTGGAGATTTTGGCTGAGGTTGAAAGATAAGCCATGGATGCAGACCCAATTGAAGGGTCGGTGGTCCCAACCGGTTTGAACCGGCCAAGAGCTGACTCCAAGTTCCTGAAAAGCAACCTTTACCATGGTAACCCATAAACCAGAGATATTATCTGTAAGAAAGCTAGTGGGAACTTAGGCATGTATTATTCGGCTATGTGACTGTAGCTATATGGGTGTTGAAATCAACTAAAAGCAAGTGACTAAACGAGACTAGTTAGATTTGGTGGCCTGGGTTTCACTGGCACAGCTGGGCTCAAGTCATGATTGCCTTGCAATCCCCTAACCCCCAGCCACGAGCAAGCCACTTCAACTCTCTGAAGTTCAGTGTCCGCCTCTGTAAATTGGGCCAACACCAGCCTCCTTATTGAGTTCTGTGGAGACCAAATGAGATCATTTGAGGGATCAATAAATGCTGGTCATGTGTCTGGTGTGGACAGTGAGTTCTGGGAAGTCTCTCTTGTGTCATCTTCCCGGGCACACTGCTAGCCAACACCTCTCCCGGGCTTCAAATCCCTCAACAATCTCCTTCAACACACACAAGGGGAGACCACTCTTCCCTGTTTGAGCTCAGCCTTATGAATTCACCCGTATCTACTATATAAGTAGAACCCTGGTTCCAAATTCTAAAACCAAATCATATTAGCTGCAACCAAATGGGAATGCACAGTGGACAACAATGGGGAGTAGGAAGGCTATAGGGACACAGTGGACAACAATGACAACAGTGGACAACAATGGGGAGTAGGAAGGCTGTAGGAATTTAAGTACCATTTTATATTTCTGCTTTTCTCCATACATGTTTCATTGTTCTTTCTCTGCTTTCTTTTTGTTTGAGAATATTGTCACTGTAACGTACTTTTTACTTGTCAAATGGTCCAACCAGTGAAGTAGGGTCCGAGCGATTAAATAACAGCCCACCGGCTTAATTTTAACAAAGGGGAAGTTTAGTCAAGGCTCTGCCAGCTGGCAACCGCTTGCAGGAAGAGAGCTCCAAGCAAGATGGCCCCGAGCCCCCACTCAGAGCTCCCTTAAGTAGTCCTAGCTTACATCTTGGTTAGCTAAAGTCAGAGTTGGACATTTTCC